AGAGGCTACATTCTCTTTGTCACCGAGCATATACAGGGTGACTTGTAATGTCACGTATTCCTGTTAAGGGGTGATAGATTAGGTCAAAAGCAACCGATTTTGTCCTATAATGTCCTATCCAGAAGTTAACCGTTTTTGAGTTATTTGAATTTTATTTTTTTTATTTTTTATTCCGATTTCAGATGGTTAAATTTGAAATACAAAAAAACTACATGTTTGATTTTGAGTTTTTTGTTATCGTCACATAGCGGACATTCCAATAGTTCATAATAAGTAATAAAATGTTGAAAACTTACAAAAGAATTAAAATTAGTAATGAACAAGCTTTGATTTGAGGTAAGAAGTTACAACTAACTCAAGTACAAAGACATTAAATTAAAAAAAGACGAGTAAAGTTGTACGAACGATAATTACGTAGGATAAATAAAAGGCTTTTATTTTAATTACAGTTTTATTTAATCACATTTCCTTTAGTATTTTACAGATTCTGATCAAATTGTAATCCCCTGTTACGAATACACGCCCGCATTCTCTTACGTAATTCACTTTTGGTAACTCTAGTTGTTAAGAGGCTTCTTATTTGGTCAGCTGCACTGATTATCCTTGTAATTAATTCATCGCGCGTTGGTACGGGCGAAACATCGTGCACCAGGATTTTCATATCTCCCCACACATAGTAATCCATCGGTGTGAGATCTGGGCTTCTTCCTGCCCAGGCAAAGGGCCCGCCTCTGCTAATCCATTGATTTGGAAATTTAGAGTCTAAATACGCCTGTACTAATCTACTTTAGTGTGCGGGACAGCCGTCGTGCTGGAACCGCATATTTTGTCTCGTCGCCACTGGGACGTCTTCTATTAATGAGTGATTTTTCAAGAACTCTTCATACACTTCTCTATTTAAATTGGCGGGCAGAAAATGAGGTCCAATTAAATATCCATCAATGATGCCCATCCACAAATTGACTGAAAACCGGCTCTGAGACCTCGTCGGTCTTATTTTTCGGGGGTTTAAAGCTTCTTTATCACCCCAGTAATGAGCATTATGGTAGTTAGTGATCCCGTCCTTCAAACTTCGATTCATCGGTCCACATAATTTTCTTAAAATAGTCTGGATCTTCTGTATCTGCATGTAACATGTACCTGCAGAAATCTAATCGTCTTGCAGGATCGCCCTCTTCAATCACTTGCACAGGCGTGTAGTGATAAGGGTATAATCTTGCAGTATGCACAGTAAACCATACTTTGTATAGTGATATACCCAACTGAGCAGCCACAATGTGCGTACACGTAGTAGGGTCTTCCTGAAACACACGAAGGATTTCCTCTTCATCTTCAGGAGGATAGACTCGGGGTCGACCAGCATCACTATGTTGCCTTTGAACACGTCCGGTTTGGCTCATGCGCCGATACAGAGTCAAACACAGTAACATGAGGTGTTGGGCGATTCGGGAAACGGTGCCTATGTTCACGGCGGTCAGCTGCAGAATCGCCGTTACAAAGTCAATAACAGAGCATTATGTCTGCGTATTCTTCATTTGTAAAAGTTTGCCCGTGCTCGCTATGGCGAGGTCCTGGCGGATCTTCTGCGTCTGCCATGATGATAAAGAAACCACTCGAAATGAACTGGGAAACTCGAAAATAATAATCGTGCGTGAAACGTGTGCGTGTACGCAGTAGTTCACACCAACTAAATAAACCTAATTCTCACTCGGCGTGCGGCAATGGCGTAACTACAATGATGAATAATAACAGCGCTCTCGTTCTCACTCCTCCACTAAGTCAGCTCTTCTCGCTCGCTTCCTCGTCGAGCCGATACCATAAAACAATCATGGCATGCGAGTCCTTTGAGGACAGTAACGACTTGTTCAAACAGGTAATACAAATTCCTTAAAAATCCAGCCTCTGTGGGTGTCATTGTTGTTTCTCTGCATGTACTTCAGATAATTGAACGCTTAATACCTCAAATGAAAGCTTGTTAGATAGAGATATTATTAACATAATTTGCACATTTCATTAGTAGGAGATTTTTTACAGAAAATTGCATTTTTTATCGAATAAGTTAGTAAAAAAATAAGAAAATCATACATTTGCGTGAAACGTGTGCGTGTACGCAGTAGTTCACACCAACTAAATAAACCTAATTCTCACTCGGCGTGCGGCAATGGCGTAACTACAATGATGAATAATAACAGCGCTCTCGTTCTCACTCCTCCACTAAGTCAGCTCTTCTCGCTCGCTTCCTCGTCGAGCCGATGCCATAAAACAATCATGGCATGCGAGTCCTTTGAGGACAGTAACGACTTGTTCAAACAGGTAATACAAATTCCTTAAAAATCCAGCCTCTGTGGGTGTCATTGTTGTTTCTCTGCATGTACTTCAGATAATTGAACGCTTAATACCTCAAATGAAAGCTTGTTAGATAGAGATATTATTAACATAATTTGCACATTTCATTAGTAGGAGATTTTTTACAGAAAATTGCATTTTTATCGAATAAGTTAGTAAAAAAATAAGAAAATCATACATTTAAAAAGCGTAATTTTAAAACGTTTTTAGCTTTTCAACATTTTATTATTTATTATGAACTATTGGAATGTCTGATATGCGACGATAACAAAAAACTCAAAATCAAGCATGCAGTTTTTTTGTATTTCAATTTTAACCGTCTGAAATCGGAATAAAAAATAAAAAAACTTAAAATTCAAATAACTCAAAAATGGTTAACTTTTGGATAAGGCATGATAGGACAAAATCGGTTGTTTTTGACCTAATCTATCACCCCTTGACAGGAATACGTGACATTACAAGTATACTTTTTGATGGCAAAACATTGATATTTCGTTGGAACAAAATTTTGTAAAATATCATGTAACATCAATGCAGTACGGGGGCCATTAGTGTGCTAGGAAAATATGATTCTGATCCCTAGATGTTACTGTGATGACTTTCTTTATGACCTACTAATGGAAGTGCTATATTTATTTATTATTTCTAGCTAATGAGCGATTTCGATGTGAAGTCTGCATTGAAGTATGCTGAGCTCCTAGTGAAGCATTTGCAAAATCCATACCTTTATCAGTTTTCATACAAAGGTGTTCTAGCCGCACAAACGAATCAGTCAGGTAGTTTACTCTAACAACATTAACCAATCATATGTCTGAAATTAATGAACTAACGTTAATTACTTTTTATGTTCACAAATAATCTATTATTTAATGAATAATTATTTAATTAATTTAACTTTACTGACCTTTTGGATATATAATTTACACGAGTATATATTATTTTTTAAACAAAGGATGGGTCTACAAGGGAGATGGCAGTCTTGGTTTCCCCTGAAGAGTTAAATACGTGCCTAATATGTAGATGTCATATTGCTGATCCTCCTTGGCCATTCTTTAGCTTATTGGATTATTTATGTTCTCAAGAACTGGATACCTACTCATTTGGAGATGTTTATACTAAGTGACATATAAATCCGAACACCCAGTTTAAATGGTTTTATTTTAATAAAAGTTGGTGAATGTATTTATCTTACTGTAAAAAACAAGTGAAAAAAATTTCAGCGTTATCAGTTGGACATTACGGTTTTTATACTGCTTTTTTTTAATTCACTAACGCTCTAAAAATGAATATTTCAGCCGCAGTAAAGAATCAACGTTGGCGGATTTTGGTTCTTGACATCCTTTACGATCGGTTACGATGCCTACAGTACGGAGACCTGTACGATTTTGTCAACTTAGTGAGTTTGATAGGGGCCGTATAGTGGGACTTCGGGAAGCTGGACTTTCTTTTCGGGCAATTGCAGTTAGAGTGCAAAGAAGTGTAGACACTGTGGTTAGGTGTTGTCAGGCATGGCTTCGAGAAGGCCGTACGCAAAGAGCAAGGGGCACTGGACGCCGCCGTAGAACAACAGACCGTGAAGATTGCCGCCTAAGATTATTATTGGCCTTAAGGGACCGTTTCTCCACTACCAGGTCCATTGCAAATGAATGATTTGCAGAACACGGAAGACCTATTGGCATGCGAAGTGTTTACCGACGAATGAGAAGTTTTGGCTTGTTTTCATACCGGCCACACTGGGTCCTCCCTTTAACTCGAGAACACCGACGTAATCGCCTTGAGTGGTGCAGACAACGGTCACTCTGGGATCAGGAATGGAACAGTATTGTCTTTAGTGACGAGTCTCGATTTTGTTTAGGCATGCACGATGGTCATGCCAGGGTTAGAAGGCGACGCGGTGAAAGGAGGAATCCACAGTTTTTTGTTGAAAGACATGTTCATCACACTGTTGGAGTTATGGTTTGGGGTGCTATAGCTTATGGTTCCAGGTCACCTTTAATCTTCATCAGAGGTAACATGAACGCGCAGCGTTATATCTACGAAGTTCTAGAACCCCATCTTTTACCCTATCTTGACACCCTGGCAGATCCAACTTTCCAACAAGATAATGCCCGACCACATGTTGCAAGAGTCACAATAGACTTCTTTCAACATAATGATGTCACATTGTTACCATGGCCACCAAGATCTCCCGACTTATCCTCAATTGAGCACGTGTGGGATATGATGGGTAGGAGATTGCTCAATTTGCAACGTCCTCCTCAGACTCTAGAAGCACTTCGAGAGGAGTTGGTGGTTGCCTGGAATGAGATACCACAGGAGGACATTGACCACCTGATCAGAAGCATGCCTAGGCGCGTTGGAGAATGCGTAGCACATCAGGGTGCCTCCACACATTATTAAAGGTCAAAGGGCTTTAAAGCAGTGCAATCATTTTGAAATTGTTATCATTTACTTATTATGCTTCATTAAGTACTTATACAAAATTTTATTAAAATAAAACCATTTAAACTGGGTGTTCGGATTCATATGTCACTCAGTATACTTGGTGGGAGACACTTGGGACTGGAACTTTCACTGCAGTTGGGCGCTAGCTTAGATGATCATTGTGTACATTTTTTTTTAAATTTAATTTTATCTTTTGCGTATATTTTTAGAAAAGGGTTTCTCAGATACGGTGGGCCACGTAGAAGATTTGAGTTACATTTTCAGCCAAAATTATCCTGGTGTAAACACGACGGACTTGACCAAATACCCTAAGGACGATCAGCTTATACAGAAGATATTTACTACGATGTTGACAAACTTCGCAAAATACCTGTGAGTTGAGAAATTAGCTTTGAAGTCAAGCTCTCTAGATAATTTTCTCAGATTTTGTGATACCAACTAAAAAACTGAAAATTGATATTGTAGGTGCTTAGTTTGAATTTTTAAATGGCAGATACCTGGCCATCACATGCGGTTTTTGTTGCTAGTCGACACCACCAATACCAATTTCGGAACTTCCGAGCCCATTCTTACTACTTCCGGCTTTTGCTTTCTCTTTATTTGCTTTTGCATCTAGGCGTGAGATGTATGAAATGTTGAAATTATTAGCCTTTCAATTATAATATAATAATAATCACTGAGAGCTGGGACATTTAGTCCAAGAAATATAGCTAGGACAAATTATTTAGTCAAGACGTGTGAAAAGGGTTCAATTTTTTATTTGCGAAAATTCTTGTTTTTTCAGCCCAGAACTAATTTTTGATAACTAAAATCGGACAAATGATTTCAAATTTACCATGTTACGTCCTGAACGCCTGTGCATACCATACGTTTTATTAGTATTTATAATTAACTTTCGGCGATGCTTTAAATATATAAAACCATCTCTGCGCGTCTCACCCCCACTGGGCCTGGGTACTTAATGTTTTTCCAAGTAGGCTTGTAAATTCAGAAATAATGTCTTTCGATCTTTTTATCACAGTAACTCTGTTTTACTATCATGTACCGACAATATCTTCTCTACAAAACAAGAACCAGCCGACAATCGTTTCATTTCCTTGAGAGGTAGAATGGATTTTTATAAAAAAACATTTTTTTCCAAAAACATGAAAACAAAAATCCAAGATATTTTGATTAAGAATTCATTGTGCATTTAAGGCGTGTTAGAGCACATATTCGTCACGGGGCTAGAGGTGAGTGTCGTGTGTATAGAGGTGATCAAGTTAAATAGTAATATTCTTAGTTTTATTGCAATAACTTCCAGACAGCGCTACCCGCAGATAGATATCACATAGCGCAGAATGTCGGTCAGTTATGAGCCGGTAGCGTAGTGGTCTAATCCTCATTTTCATCGTATAATAAAAGTTAGCTTGTCAAACCATTGGTAGGCGGAGATCGCCAGATTTTTTGCCTATTTCCGTACAGTCTTGAGTTTTTCAAAATATACCCACTTGTTTGCTTTCCGTTCATCTGTCTCCAGGACTACCAGACCTACATCGTACTGATGAGTTGCTAATGAGCACGAAACAGCGCTGTTGATCGTGGACGGAAAGCAAACATGTCAATTTCAACATATTGTGCTGTTTATTCTCAATTAAATTGCTGAAAAGATCCTTGATTCAGTGAAAAAGCTGTATGATCTATCGCCAAAATAGCAATCCTGTGCAATTTCAGCAAGTTGTTTGAGATCATCGCTTATGAAACGGTTTACTGCTCGGTCAGGGGTGCAGTCTCTATTAATCAGCATGGGTTTATGAGAGGTAGATCTACGGTCACCAACTTGGCTCTAATTACTCAGTACATTTCTGAAGTACTGGACGGTCAGGGACAAGTTGATGTCATCTACACAGATATTCAGAAGGCGTTTGATCAAGTTGATCATTATGCACTTCTGGATAAGCTTAAAACAGTTGGTATGTCTGATGCAATGCTATCGCTCATGAATTCATATTTGAGGGATAGAAGGTTATTTGTCGAATATGGTGGTCATAGGTCGAGTTACTATCGGGCCAGGTCCGGGGTACCTCAAGGGTCAAATCTAGGTCCATTATTGTTTTTGATATTTATTAATGACTTGTCTTTTGAACTGAAGTGTTTCCATTTGTTTTTCGCTGATGACCTTAAAATCTGCACGTCAGTCAAGACAGTCGAGGATTGCGTCATGTTGCAAGATGACTTAGCTCTAATTTCGTCATGGTGTTCACGAAACTGTCTCAGTCTGAATGTTTCGAAATGTAAAGTTATGACTTATACAAGAAAAGTTAACTATTTAATTTATGATAATTATAACATCAATGGTCAGGTTATAGACAGATGCACCTCTTATAGAGACCTTGGAGTCATTTTTGATACTAAGCTAACGTTTACTGAGCATATACTCAATATCTCGTCGGCTGCCACTCGACTACTTGGTTTCTGTATCAGAAACTGGAAGGGTTTCTCCAATGTTGATACATTAATGACTTTATTTTTTACTTTTGTCAGGAGCAAGTTGGAGTATGCGACTCTGATCTGGTCTCCTAGATACAAAAATTCTGTCGTGATCCTTGAGGCCATTCAACGTAAAGCTTTAAAGTATTTTCACCTTAAATGCACAGGTTCTTATCCAGAAAGAGGTTGTGACCATAGTGCCCTATTAGAGTTTTTCAATATGGATTCACTGTCAACAAGACGAAATATATTTGCTTTGTCGTTTTTGTATGGCCTCATTCACAATGAAATTGACTGTCAAAATTTACTTGAAAAAATATGTTTCCGCGTTCCAAGGCTAGGGAGTCGACAACAAACGGCATTCTATTGTCAAGCTGACCGTACAAATGTTATGACAAAATCGCCAATTAATCTCATTTGCTGCGTCATGAACAGTGTTACTGAATCGTGTGATAGTTACAGTGACAGTTGTGCATCGATTATTAACTGCTATAGATCATCCAATCTTATTTAGAATGTGTGATACTATAGATTTAAGTCCAAGAACCATGTCTCTTTAATTGTTATTTTTTTCAGCGTTTCCTGTAATTGGGTTTCACCTGTTGGAAATAAATAAATAAATAAATAAAATGTAACGTTATGTTTTTTTTGATATGGTGATGAATTGTTTACATCAGTTAAAAAAGCTTAGATTTACGATGATAGCGCGCTAGGCTTAATCGATGCTACGTACATGGTGTCTCCTGGTTTCCTCTCCCTTTTGTACTATTTTTCAAAAAATCTGAAGACATTTTCAATTACCTATTTTAGGAACCCAACACCAGAAAAGGATGATGTTTTACAAAATACGATCTGGCCTAAGACGGATTCAGATTTCACCTATTTGGATATTGGGTCTGACATGGAGATCAAGACGCATATGAAATCTGATATGTACAATTTCTGGAACAAACTGTACGCTCAGTATGCTGTTAGACCGTTTGACACATATTGAAATAACTGGAATCGTCAAGTTATACTGGAACTCTCCACTAAGAGTATTTTGAATGTCATTTGATGGATTTTATGTCAATAAATATACATCGTTGAACATCTATAATAATTGTTACTGTTACATACGTTGAATTTAAATCGATAATAGTGTTATCAAGTACTGACGGTTGTTCTAAATATTCATGTGATGCCTTCAGATGGAAGCCGAGAAATTAAAGAAATATACAGAGTGTTATCTAATGATAGGCCGTAGTTACAAGTGCCGATTCCTGTACAAAATTTAAGTGAAAAACTCATATAAATATGTTTTTATTCAATTATTTGACGTTCTTCGACCAGAACCCTGAATTTGTTTCTTATCTTATTCATAACAAAAATAAGAATTCGTGTATTATACGCGTAGTGTCCGCTTTTCCCAATCCGCTTTGCCCGAAATCAATTATCTAAGAGTTTAATTGCTTTGTACCAAGATCAATCAACCAACGTTTTTGAGGGGGCTATTGGCATCGTGTCCCACAAAGTAAACGTGAACTTTGTGTTATAAATATGAGCGAAGACGGACCTTTTTGGGCTGTTTTAGAAACAGAATAATTCAATTTTGACGCCAGATTCTGTGAAGTTTTACTTTAATTCAATTCTTATCAGATTTATCAAGTGTTGATTAGATAATATTGGCTGCGGTAACTGACAAAAACATATTATTACAACCCAGTTGATGCTGTCAAGAATAAAAACAAAAATTTTCTGATATTCTAACAATGACGATCAACCTTAAGGTAGTCATCGTGTTATATATGAGCAGCATTATTTCGGTAGGTATCAACACGAAGCTTTTAGATCGAAAATTTCTATAATGCAAGCCTTGAAGTCCACATATTATGTGATGCAGCATGTTAACACGGATACCGAGCAGAGGGAGCGTTACTCAGCAACACAAGCTCAGTGCCACCACGGTGTATGGATGAGGTGAAAATCTATTTGTAGATTACATTTTTCAACTAGATTGTTTTCTTAATCACGTTTGGTTGCCTACATGAATCAAGAGGTTACCGGGCTTTAACCAGGTGCAAATTTGTTTTTACTTTCCAGGCTTTTTGGATTGTCACGTGCCAAAATCACGTAACCTTTTTTTACTATTTTGCTTTGCTAGTAATTTGAATTCCTCCTTATTAATGGCAGAGTGCCCATTCCTAGGCCAAACCCTTTTTTTTGCAAATTTTATAGTTTATTGATTTTATAATTTCACACGTATTATATCTCTCTTTCTCAGCGACGCAGTATCGTGTTGAAATCTTTCGGACACTAATATTATAGTAGATATTATTACCGACTTAGAAATTTCCTCATAAAATATTGTTGGTCCCTCGTAGAGAGTTGGTTCTGCCTACACTCTGCCCATTGGGAATCAGCGCACCACCTTTTGATTTCTACACGTACTCGTACTAGCCGTATATGAATATTTGCTTTCCTATCAAAACACCTTCTTGGCCGGTTTTTGTCCGTTCCTTTTGTCGAACATTCCTTCTTCAAGGCCATTCATTTAACCTTCTTTTAAAAAGTTAGGCTTTCTGCGTCATTTACTTTCCTGCGGAGATTGTTGTGTCGGTGTCGTTTCATTAATTTCCAGATTCTGAGACATTAGACTCCCAAACACCAATTTATGGAGTAGTACCTTTTTATTTTGTACCTTACGTTTGGTTGTTTCGGTTTGTGTGCTACCCCGTCCATTTTCTAATGGGATTTTAACCTTCAGCGTGGAAAGGCATTGCGGATAACCACCATTCACACTCCTCCAGCTTTGTTTTGTAGCTGTTTCACAGTAGATTTTGTTGGACGCCATCCCTTCTCCTTGACAAAAAACCCTGACTCTCCGCAGTACCTTTCCACGCTAGAGGTTAAAATCCCATTAGAAAATGGACGGGGTAGCACCCAAACCAAAACAACTGAACGTAAGGTGATGAAAATGGTAAGGTTACGTGACTTTGACCAGTGACATGGTCTTCAGTAGCTTTTCTCTAAAGTTGACCATTGTCGGGTCATAGGCGGCTTAATGTCCGAAGAGTGCTCAAAACGGCCATTTTAAGAACACAGTTGAAGGTCCTTATTTTTGATATTCTGAGGTGTCTAAGTCAAGCTTTGCACCTCTGCAACCCACGAAATGCTGCTAAGGATTATGTTCGATACAAGTTAACCCCTCTGAGGATAAAATTAGCTGCGGTCAAAATAATTAATTGCATCAAGTCAGCCAAACCGGTCCATACAGATAGTACATATTCCACACATGCCATTTATAATTCCTGTAATGTTTGTGATAACATACAGTATAGTGCTTATACAAATATTAATCAGCTCCTATTACATGTCATGCAAATGTTTACTACTTCATTATATCATCACTTCCCCTTCCTACGTGTTTGAGGAAGTTGAATATTCAGTATTCAGAAATCCTTTGGGAGAACATACAAGGGGTGATAGAGGTTAAGCGATGCGATTTCGGTAGGTTATGTTACATAAATTATGTGCATATTCAAACAGCAGCAGCATTTATGTACATTGATAATTCTGTGCACCTATAGTTCATTCACTGAAGGAAAGCAGTTGTCATATTAGGAAATTTGAATGCCAACCTTAATGCAAAATAGATCCTAAATTGGTATGTATAGTTTGAATTTCCCGGGTCAATTTATGTTGGTAACAGTTTTCTGTGTTGTGACATTGGCGTAACGCTTTTCAGGTAATTACGCCAACGGTTGTTGTTTATTTTCGTTCTTTTGCCTCAATATTTGCGTTATTTTTTTCAAAACTTTGAGGTGCCCTTTTAAACATTTTGCCAAAATGCCGAGAAATATTTTGAGACCGAACGAGATCATGGAGCTTCATTATTGCCTTTACAGTAGTCCGTAAGACAGGTATTAGGTAGTAAATATCATTTATACTAGCTCTAGTGTTTACAAAACATAGACCAGTAGATTTTGTTAAACGTGCCTAGGATCTAGTAGTTTTAATTAACCTGGCAACCATGTGAGTCACTGTCATTATTTGACGTTGTGACGTGACTGCTTTGATTCAGTGAATAAACTATACTAGACATATTTTATTCATCATGGATTTCCCCGCATTCCCCTTTCCTCTTACTCTTAAAACTTCCGCAGTGCCGTGGTCAGTGTCATCCATGCGAGACTGGTCATAGCATGTGCGTCCGCAGGAATTTCTCTCAGTGGGAGAGATACTCGTAACTTTTTGAAGAGCAGGAAATAGCATATTTTCTCAGTGGGGGCCAAATTGAAAAAAGCCCCAAAATAGTACACAACTGCACGTCAAATATGCAAATTTTAATTGTATGAGTCTAGGTATGTTAACTGACTCGATCCATTTGATTTTTGGTTACGCATGATCGTAGCTAACTGTTCTCTCTAGGAACGGAAAAATGGAAAAATGCATTATCATTAAAAAGTCGATGTTAAAAAACGTTATAAATGAAATTTGACTAAAATAAAGAATATGGTATTAGCGACCAAGATTCGATGATATTTCATTTTATTTATGCTTAAATTTGCGTAGGATGAATGGAATATAGCATAAAATAATTACTAGACCTGCACATTTGCTAGAATGTAATTGGATACTGTTGAAATTGTTGAAATTATTTGCCTTTTCCACTGCACAGCGTGTACTCGATTAATATTCAATGACAATATATTCTGTTTTTTCATAACTAGAGTATTCAGGGAGTTCACTTATGCATAAAACATGGAATGTGCAGGATTTTCATCGCATATTGTTTATCACTTTTTGCATTTCAGTGATTAGCTCAAATTCGAGCGTTTTTGTTAATGTATTTATTCGTTCATATACGTGAACCGTATGTTTATCAGTAAAGCTTCAGCTTCAGCATTAAAAATATACGATAGGGGCGCGTTAGAACAGTCCAATGCATTTTATTTTATATATTCGTACAGCATCCATTTGACAGTACAGTGGACCCCCGATAATCCGGCCCCTGTCTAACCCGGCGCCCCCTGTAATCCGACATGTCTTTGAATATGAATTACATACATACCTATTTGACAATCTTCGCTAATGTAGATCACGCAGGTTTGAACAGGTTACGCGCAACCGCTATCGTGCTCGACGCATAAGCATTGTTTTACTTAGTTTGAATTTGACTACTGGTGATAGCGGTACGGCCTCTCGTGCGTTCATTGTGTACTATTTATTCATTGTGTATTAAGTATAGTACCTAGTAATGTCATCACAAACTCAGAAGCGAAAGCACAAAGCATTGACAATTAAAGAAAAAAAATTTTCAGTAGTTTAGCAAGTGAATACGGCGTAGGCTGGTCTACAATTTATGACATTAAAAGAAACCACGAGAAGATCAAGAAGTTCGTGTCAACTACTGACTGCGGGCCAGGCAAGAGACAGACACTCAAGAAAGCTGAACATCCAGAAGTGGAAGCAGGTTTGTACATGTGGTTTCTTCATGAAAGAAATAGGCATGCACCAATTTCAGGACCCATGTTGGCCATGAAAGCTAAGCTTTTTTCTAAGGAAATAACAAAAAAAGATGATTTTGTGGCCAACAACTTTATAACGATGCCACCTGCATAGAGCCCTTTAAATTAAGATTTTTGCAAAAGGTGAACGATTTAATCTTGAACCGTCACAGGTGTACAACGCAGACGAATCAGGGCTTTTTTGGCATGTGATGCCTGGACGAAAAGTAAGTAAAGAGCGTGTAACCATACTACCATGTGCTAACGCTGCGGGCACACACGCGCATAAGATGGTCATTGGGAAATCTAATAAACCACGGGCATTCAAAAACATTGATTTAACCTGTACACTATTACGGACAAAAAAGTGCATGGATGACAAAAGACCTTTTCAAGAAGTGGTTTGATAAATGCTTCGTACCTGAAGTTAGAAAATTGTTAAAAGATCATAATTTTCCTCAAAAAGCGTTGTTGCTTCTTGATAACTCTCCCGGTCATCCGTCTAAAGAAGAACTAACAACTGAGGATAAATGCATCACTGCGATGTTTCTTCCGCCAAATTGTACTGCACTGATTCAACCAATGGACCAGAATATCATTCAGTCTGTCAAGCAAGACTATAAGAAAAGCCTACTTCTGAGAGCCATATCAAAAGACCAACCAACAGAAAATACTTTAAAAGAATTTAATACTAAGGACTTGGTTTTTGCTCTTTGTCAGTCGTGGAATGCGTTACCGTCGTCAACTATTAAATCGACTTGGAAAAAGTTATGGCA